CACTGGACTATCTGCCACATTCTCACCACTATTTCTTCTATTGGAGTAGGGGAGTCCTTACAACCTTTCAGTTCCAAACTGCTGGGATGGTCAACTGTGGAGGCACTCTCCTGAATGGTCTCCACACAAAGATGGCTATAACCATTCAGTGCAGTGTAGAGTGGTAGTGTTCTCTGGGTGTCGATGGCGTGCTATCCTCCAAAATGCAATATACACTTATAAAGGAGTGAGACGTCAAATTTTAGTTCACCCTTCAGCTGGGAGCCCTCAACCTATCCCCGTGTGGATGTCAGTACCCCATGGCTGACCTTTGGATTTAGAGTAGAACCAATCAACATAAGTCCTCACACATGGTTATGGTTGTCCATATTCCTCCCTCAAATATACTCCTTTTGTGTTGTCGGTCACAGTGGAGGTGAGGGGATTGTTCTGGTTCTGTCCTTTTTGCTATTCCTCATTGTATCTTATTCCAAGGATGTTGTTGTTTTTTGGATGGCTCTAGTCGTTTTCGCTGTTGGGGGAGTTGATTTATATTACATAGACATCCTTTTGATACTGGATGTTGGGTCCCTGGATCAATAGATCAAAGCTAACACATGTGTCATGCTCAGGAGTTGAAGTGGTTCTAGATTACCTCGGTCTCTTAAACTTGAGGTGAAGATGATATGAATCTCATCCTACCCCTACATGGATGTCAGTTCCCAGCGGCATCAGTTTTGGATGTAGTTGACTTACCAAGTGTGGTCCATTGTACTCTAGCTACTCTACACCTGAATCCATTATTTTACTTACCTTTTTTTTGTAGGATTGTGTTTCATATATATTTACATGATTAGGATCACTATCCCGCCACAGTTCTCTTTCACTTGGATATGCTCCTCTCTTTTTCTGCTCCTATATAGTACAACTTTCACAGATGGGCAAAGAGTATACCAGGTTTGGATCTGACTCTCTTATTTCCAGGGGTATCCTTCAGATGCTTTCAAGTGGTACTTCTGTCATTCCCTCACACTGGTCCCGCCACCTAATCAATATCGGATTCTAGCTAATCTTGTGAGAAGAAGAAAATACTGTATTGTAAGTTATAATTTTCCTATACTGAAAATGTATTTTCAATAGGTACTTTCCTCCTCTCACACTTCCCACCATTATTTCAGGTTAGTTAGGCTAGGTTATAGATAGGTTATGGCCTGATCTAAGTTGTAATGAGATTGATCAATTATGTGGGTAGCACTAGTCACTTTGGGTAAGTGCAATGTTTCTTGTAAACTCAAGAAAATTGGATTTAGATGGTCTTTAACAGGAACTTGAAGGAGTTGTAGTTGAGAGAATCTCGTAAAAGTGACAGTCCCATGTAAGTAAAAGCAAGGGCACACACACTGTATTTGTGTTTAGTGTTATAATTAACATTATTCATGTTGCATTTCACTTTGTATATAGTCTCATTATTCCAATTAATATCATGACTTAGGGAGAAAGAGATTTAGCATTACTTTGTGATTGATATTATGACCTAATCTCCAGTTATGATACAGATTTATCTGATAGCTTAAAGGTTAGCCTCAGTTTTACCTGAATGTACCACATAAGTAACTGCTGAACTATTAATTGATATTATCAGTTATCTGTGAACATTGATTGCATTGGTTTGTATTACTTATCTGATTAATCCAAGTTCAGACAACTCAATTAATGTCATGAAAATAATCAACTAATCAAAATTTCCAGTTATTATTGGTTTTGGTTATTACACCTGACATTAGTATTTCTCATTGTTATTTTTGATTTCTTCAAGGTTATTCTGCTTAATCAATTAGTGTGATGACTCACAATAATAATAATAATGGAAATTAGTATTTCCAATTATTACAATTTTATTCAAGTAAGCAAAATTTTAGGTAATACAGCTTCTGTTTGTGCAAATGCACACAATATTATATATGTTTTGTGCTTATACACCACTATCGAATTTGAGGAATCTGTGGTCATTTGGTGGTTACATAACTAGCCTGTTGTTTATGTTTATCTTGTATTTCCAAATTATAGTGTAGCTTAACTTAATATATTGCTTACTTATTGAAAGCTACAGACAAAACCAGTGTTACTTAGAATAAGATCACAGTAAGTTATGTCAAATTAATATTCATTATTCTTTAATTGCTCAAAAATATTGTTGATCACTGAAAACTTGCTTAGTGAACTTTGTCAGAAATGACTAGATGTGGACTAAAAATAGTCTACTCATGTGTAACATTTTATTTATCATGTGGTTGTTAATTGATTTCCACAACCAGAACTGTTTAATTATGAATAGCTCTAGCTAGATAAAAATAACAGAAAAGGGAAAACAAAAGTCTGGCTTTCATCACATGCCACTTAAACAATGACTGGTAAATTAACCTTAAGTTACTTGGTTTTATTGATTTCTCAGCAATCACATGTGTTTCTACAGCTCCTTCCAACCTGTCTATAAAAATGTAAAACGTCCATCAATATCAACAATTAATTGCTCAAAAGCATATGTTTTTATACTTAATTTGTTAATTATATTTTAGTTTTATGCACTGATGATGGAATTAGAAAAAAAAAATCCAAAATGTCTGTAATTTAAGATTTTTTCATATTACTGGGATTTTAATATTTCTTATATTTTGATTTACACCTTATGAATCATTTTATTCTCAGCAAAGAGGTCATCTAGTATTATCACACGTTTTTTTGCCAAATTTTTTTTGAACTGTCTTTGTTTTCATAGGATCAGAATGAATTTGTTTTCACTGAATTATATATATTATGTATCACACACTGCGACAAGAATCCCTTCTAGTTTTATCACATGAAGTCTAAGGGTATTTAATTTTTAACAAAATACGAGTTCCTTTAGTTTTAGTAGAGCAGCCTTATGACAAATTGTAGGGAGAAATCTGCAGAATGGTATTATTCATTGTTTCAGTTTGATACTGGTTTTTTACTGCTTACATATATGATGTATTTTCATTTCCAACAGTTTAGGATTAAAAAGTAACTTAATGGTAAATTGTTGTGCCTGAATGTGCCCATCATATTAAACTAAAGGTAGCTTAAACACGTTTTTAAAAAAAACTTAAAACAGTTTGAAAATTGGAGGATTAGTCTCATGTAAGAGTGATCAGTTAATGAGTATAACAAGTTTACAATAAAATGTTGAAAGCAAAGATACTAAAAAGTAAGTCTGGATACTATAGGCTTTTTAAACTTCAACACTAAGAAGAAACATTTTCCTGAAGTGGCTGATGCCATATTTTCTTACAGAAACTACTTGTAAATATGTTGCAACTGCACTAAAAGACTAGCAAAAAGTATAGATTTTATGTGTTAAAATGAAAAATTAATTTACACTTACATAGCTTTATATGAGCTATTGACAGACATTGGAAGCATAAATTCACCAAACTATCAAGTCTTTTCATAACACCACAAGCCAGGAAGGCACTGTTGAACCGTTAAGTGCCCTAGTTTCTATGCTCTTGTATGCACATCATTGGTAAAGTTGACTTGGAATTGTCATCAGCTTTATGAATAGCATGTGAAACAGTAGTAAAAGGAGAAATGTTTGTTTCAGTTTCTTCTCAAAACACAAAGGTCACTGATAATGTTAATTGCCATTGGTTTTGATAGAAGTGATCTGTATCTTCCTTTTATAAAAGCATGAAAAACACTAAGGAAGTGTGATGTCTGTTGCTGAAACATAATGTGTCATAGTGGCCTTGAGCTGCAAAGCACAAATAATGGGTAAAAATTGGCTTACTTTTCATTTAACAGAATAATATATTTTTCACAATGTGCCTCTGTAGGTCTTGCAAAACACTAGTGAAATGAAGTTCTTGTTTGTTAGAAAAAAACAGTGTGTAGTAGTGACTTCCAGCCACAAAACACACAAATTAACACTAAATTTGACTTTCTGTCAGTTCCAAGGAAATAGTGCATTTTTTTCATTTCAAATCAAGTGGCACTTAGAACACTTACCAACTTTTCCATTGGTTAAATAAAAGAAGAGAGTAGTATCAACTTCTGACAAAAAAAACAACACATAAATCATGATAAAGTTGATTTTCTATTTATGTGATGGAAGGAATCTATGTTTTGCAACTCCATTTGCAGAGCATATGAAATATAAATACAGCATGTTTATCGCTGCCTTATTTCTCAAAGCATACAAATCACTGGTAATATTGATTTGTTAAAACAAATAGTGTGTTCTGTTGTCCCTTCTGCATACATGTAACACATCAGAATTGAAAGTTAAATTGGTCAGGTAAAGAAATGTATTTATTGCAATCTTATTTTGCACATGTTAAAAAAACTGGTCATGTTGACTTGTTACTTGTATTTTGGTCATATTCTGTAGGTCACATTAAAACACTTGTAAAGTGGAGTTTCTATTGGTATGATGAAAATATTGGCCTTCAGCTGCAAAACATACAAATTGGTAATAAAATTGACTTGTGGGTTTGACTGAATAATTGTGTTTCCTATAATCTTAATCAAAGTGCAAATATAAGGTTTAATAGAAATTTTACATGTCTATATATGTATACTTTGTTATATAATAATTTTCCTATTTTCAAAGGTTTAGCAGCAACACAATAATGTTGAAAGTGAAGAAGTTTAAAGTTTCTTTTAAAGTGTTGTGGTGCTAAGTTATGTTAGATAAAAATGCTCCTTTCGGTAATTGTAAATATAATGGGCTACAAAAATTGTGATTTGCAAAAAAATATACAAATTTCTAATGAATGATAAACAGTTTTGTCAGATGCATAAATAAAGCAATTCAGATGATTTTAGCTCTTTTGTTTTATGAAGTGATGTTTATTAACACTGATTTACATGGAAGATTAAAATTACATTTATTAAAGTATATTCTATACATAAAGACATTATCATGTCATAATATTTTTAATTACATCTTGTTAGTTTTAGTTGATTTTACACACTAATTTCATGAAAGACTTATTTTACAGAAAACAATCATCTAGTGTACTGAAGGGGTTCTCTTGGAATCATATTTCAGACCTAAATTTACTTTCATCTGAAGTTATCCCTCAAAACAAAGTAGATTCTACAGGATGGTGGATGGATCATACAAGATGGGAGACTGGAATCAAATGTTTTAACCAGAAACAGACTCTGTGTTCAAAGGTACATTGTACATAACATAGAACAACATTTTTTTTTCTATTAACCTGCTGAAAAGATTTTACATTGTTAGAGTACTGATAATATTTTTAGATTTTCTTGTGTATAACATAAATGACTAAATCATTTAAAATGTTTTTGGTAATGTTTATTTGAAGTGAACTTGCTGAAAAATAATGAACACCTTGCATTGATAGCTTTCATTAGTACTTTTTAGTCTAATTTATGCCAAAAGTAAATTACCACTATGTTTTCAAATGTATGTAAAGGAAATTGTATGTTTAAAAAAAATTATATTTATGTTACTTGTATAAACATGCTAGTGCAGTGATTCCCAACCCTTTTATGTCATGTAACAACAGTCAGACCTTTGAACCAGGGGCGTACCCATGATGTATTTATATTGTTAAAAAAAAAGAGGCAAATATATAAAAATGTTGAGTGCTGGCTAGTGTAATATGTTGGTATTTCACTCAGACTAACTAATTACTCTTGTCATAAGACATTAGTATTAGGCCTACTATAATTTTAAACACCACATTTTTTTTTATGTAGTCCATTAGAAATTTTCAAGAATTAGAAGAGTGTATAATAATAGTATTCAAACCACACTTTATTTGCCAGATCCATTGTTGATTATGCATTTCGCTCAACCCAGAGCTCTCCAGGCCAGCTGGGATACAACAAACACAACAGTGGTTGGAACACTATTTATATAAGCCATTTGTTACAACAACAATTGTTAGGGTGTCAACACCTTTTGCAAGCTGGCAAAGAATCACTATAATTAATTATACTTGTCATATGATATTAGTATATAGTGTTTAGGAATATAATAGGCTGAATACTAATGTTTTCTGTCAAGTATAATTAATTAATATCATGCTTTGCAAGCTTGTAAAAGGTGTTCACACCCTAACAATTCATTGAGACTTCCACTTTTTAGGTGTGTGGTTTTCTTTTAAATGTTATTAAAAGGTTCTCGCATACCCTCAGAAAGGTCTGTGCATACCCCAAGGGTATGATAGGATGAGAATCACTTGCAAGGCATCTGGACTCTCCACATCCCTTCTTTCCTGTTTGGTCCGTCCTTTGTTCTTAATGGCTTATCAGTAAAAATGGTGCATTTTCGACCATTGGTCTCTGTGCCATAGTTACCTCCCTTCTTGTCTTAGTGTTCCTTATATTTCAGGATTTTTTTTTACCTGTATGTTCAATTATGGTTCATCTATGTCTACCATTGCTGGTTATCAGACAGCCTTATCTACTACTTTCTGTTTTTCTCTTTCCCATAGATTTTTTCATCCCCATATCCTGTCTCCTTTTGTCTCCTTTGCCCAGCTCATCCTACACCTTTCAGACTGGAACCTCAATGTGGTTCTCCATGGCCTTAGCCAACCTCCTTTTTTGAACCCTTAGCTACCTGTTTCTTATACCATTTGCCATTGAAAACTTATATGTCCCTCCTTTATGCCTTTGGTCATCATCAGTCTGATATTTTCACCAATGATGTTTCACCTCTCCTTTCCCACTGTACCTATGCTCTCCCATAACTGGATAGTAGTTTTTTCCAAAATGTTGAAAGCTCATGAAAAGGACATCATATTGACATCTATTTCCCTCCCATCCATTTTCTGTAAACCTACTCCAGTCTGGATCATCTTTTCTGTCCTGTTCGTGCTCTTTGGTGTTATGTTGTTCACACGGCTTCCTTCTGTGGTTCCCATTCCTGCCTGTTTCACCATTGGAACCCTCCCTTTACTCGAGACTTTTCCACTGTGAATCTTATGGGTTGGACTCGTCAACTTATTCAGTTGGCTTATTCTTCCTAGTCTTCCAATTTCCATCATATTTTCCAAGTATCCTCTCACCAGATCCATTATCTTCTCCCTGGCTGCACACTTCTGTTGTCTGTTGGAAATGATTATCCAGGTTAGCATGTGGACCACACTACACACTTTCATCACTCATTATCTGCTTCATGTGGCCATCTCCTTCTCCTCTAAATGCTGATTACTGCTCAATGCCATTCTACACACCTCATTTAAACTGTTTGTGGGTGAGTATTTTTTCTATTTCTTTATTTCCATTACAGTGACCAATTTTACATGTTGGATCCTGCTCTGTGGCGAGTGGTGTCTGTCCAGGTATACTAATCTATAAATCAGCACTGTCCAGCCATTAAGGTCTATAAGGCTTACTGTTGAGATGGGGTGTTTTGTATGAGTGCTAGAGGTTTCCTTGCGATGTTTTGCTTCATAGATAAGGTCCATCCCAGACTATACCAACCCATGGACTATCATGAGTAAAGCAGTGTCGGGATTGGTGCCCATCCCTCCCATCCTGGTTGAATAAATTAAGACCGCCCTGCTTTTCAAACTAGGGTTTTTTGTGGTCACCCATTGCACTTGCTCCGTTGCTGCATTCCTCTAGACTCCTTACAATGTTGTACCCCCCCCCCTCCATGAGTGGAGTACATGAGTCCTTGCCACTTATCAGCTTCTAGCTCCTGGGGTGGTAGGATGGTGGTGTACTCACCTCCTACTGTGGACTGAATATAATTCTCAATGTCACCACATAAAGCTCACCCCTCCGGCTGGGATCCAACATACTTCTGCTGTCTGGATGTCGGTTCCTAGGTGGTCAGGTGTTGGATTGGGTAGAACTGGTAGGGATGCTCCTCCTACCATAGACTAGAAGATAATTCCCATTGCCACCAGATTTTAGACTGGAGTTGACCCACCATGTTACATTCTCCTATCCTATCATTGCTTAGATGTTGTGTTGCAAGGTACCTGATGTTGGTTGTGTTTTGGGTTTGTAAACATATACACTACTTGGGTTTTCAGAATGGAAGTGCAATTTCTTTTCCAATTCCTGGGCTTGAGGTGAAAATGGTTGGGACCCTCCTCTTACCACGGACCAGATGACAGATACCCAATGCTGCCTGGTTTTGGACTGAAGTTGACCTGCTGTTTATGGTCTGATGCATTCTAGCCATTCTACACCATCTAGTATGTCTAGTTATTTCTCATCTACTGTTTCATAATGGTCTGGTACATCACCCTCATCTTTTCACCCATGAGTCTCCTCCTCTGCTTCCTGGGCAAGCCAGTTTACCAGAGATTCATTTACAATGTATGGACATAGCTGATCAACATGTGCTACATGCTTTTGCATATCTCTTGATGACTGTAACAGACATCAGAGGATTTATCTAGCACCTTTTCTGTCATATGGTGGTCTTTCCTAGCTGTTGACATGGAATATTGTACGTGTCAATTAAAGTAAGTTTAACAACTCTGTATTCTTGTGAACATTGTGGGATATCTGTTGTAGGGAAGGACCATACATCACATCTACAAGGAACAAGACTTCCCACCCTAACATGAGCATGGTTGCCAAATAACTTGTTGAACTCTGCTCACTTGTGCAGTATGCAAATGTGATGTTTCTCTCAATCAGTTTGGTCAAGATTAAAAAACTTAGTAAGCATACACTTGATAATCTGTGTTTCCCATTCTAATAAACTATCAGACTGGAAGTGATAAGGTAAAGTGCATGTTTTCACCACATCTAACACTTTGCACAACTGAAAGAACAGTGCTTTGTTTGAAGCTTGTTTCTGGTCTATTCAAGGTCTCCAAACTGGGCTATTCATTATTTTTCCAACACATCAGCCCAGGATTGTGCTGACATATCAACCAATAGATAAGTGTTAGCCCACTTCATAAAGTGTTTGATGACCATGATATATACATTTAACCTTGTTCTGTCTGCATAGGTAGTCCAATAATATCCATGACTATTCTCTGTAGAGTAGAACCAACAATCTGCTGTAGTTTACTCTGGGTAGCACACACCCTACAGTTCTGACACCAGTGCTGTACATCTTGACTGTAATGTGGCCAGTAGAACTGCCAACTACCTTCTTTGTGTGAGTAATGCCTCCTAGACAGTCAAAGATTCACCTTACCATTCACATCCACTTTATCTTTTATGAAGTTTGTGTTAACTGTTTTGAGTGATGGTTATATCATGAGATCTACCATTGTTCTGGCCACTTCTGTATCAGCCAGGAACTTTATCTCAGACCCTAGTACTCTGAGAGACTCATACTAAGACCCACCCAGCTCTGAGGTAGCTGGGCTGTCCAGTTGACCACAAAACTTTTTGGTTCAAGCTGCTTATTACATTCCTCCAAGTCAGTGGCCAGACACGATATGGGCTTTGTTATTTTCCAAAATTTGTAGTGGCAGTGTTCATTGCCTGTTGTTAGCTTTCTTGCAGTTAACTTGAAAGTGGCTAAACATTCCATAGGCAAAGCTAATTCTCTTCCAGGATGACATCCAGGCAAAGGCAGCATCACCATAGGAGGACCAAGATAGTCTTGCCTATTTACTGGATTCCAGTATGGTGCATTACAGTGCCAGAATATGTGGTTGGTTAACTCTTGGATGGGCATAATGTGCTTACCTGGATAGGATATTCTGTCTGAGGTACAGCCACTTGGTTGTCACTGCAGGATTTTTTCCTAGTTTTGTAACTGATTTGAAATTACCACTTTGTACTAAATTGCTAACAAAACAGCCTCCCAGGTGATGACTCATTGTTTCACTGGATAGGCCTTGAATGAACTTGTCAGTGAGGATATATTTGCAATTTGCTGAAGCCATTTGCATAGTTGCCCTGGCTTTCTTGAACACAGGCCTAATGGATTGCTATATTTTCCACTATCAAACTTTCTATGTAATTTGTCATTGACTATCTCACAGTCCCAAAGTTGCATCTTGCTCAAATGTTTGGTGGTAGTATGGTTTGACTGTTCACACTCAGGATCAGGTGTTGTGCAACCTGTTTTGGAGATCAGCAATTTGAAGCAGTTAGCTGCCTGAAACACTTCAGGAAATGGTCCAAATCATTTACTGCACCTTTGATGTCAGGAGCATGATTCGTTTTGCATCTCTCATGGGGACACTTGATCACGGCCAGAACCTTTCCCTCATGACATAACCTGACCAAGATTTCCTCAGTGTTTCAGGTACAGCATTATAGACTTTCAATTATAAACCTCTTTTTAGGTGACAGAGCAATGAGCTGTCATTGGTAGCTCATCTATTACTTCTGTATGACCCCAGGCTCTCAGTGACCCTCTGTCATCCCAGCAGTATATCTCCTGGTATGGAAGGGCTAACCAATGTTCCATAGTTCAGAAATTTCACCATTTATGCATGCCAGCTCTTCTGTTAATGAGATTGCTCTTATTAGTGGGCATTGTCTATCAGTGGCACCTCCAGACTCTCTTGACCATTCTAAATAATTGTGTGATCTAGGGCGAGACATTGGCTAACAATAGTCTCTATGGAGACCATTCTACTTGATCTCAGACTTGCCAGACAGCATAGCACTTTGACAGTTCTCAGTCATCTGTGCTTTCATTGCATTGAGGTTGATCCTCTGGGAAGAGTGTGATGATCTATTCTGGGTACACAAGATGTCAGCAGTTCTCCTTCTTGATTCATTGGCTGTAATGAGATGGGAACCATGGACCTTAATCTGTATAATACTTTAAAAGTAGTGAAATGCAAGAAAAACTTTTGGCATTTAAACTGTAACTTTTAAAATATTATACTCCATATATAGCATTTCAGAGAAACTTTTGTCTCTCATTGTCCAGCCCAACTGATGAGCTTTGGTATTGAATGAAAGGCAATGATTTGTGGTAAACAAAAGATAGATCTGAAATGCTATTTTAAACATTTCTGATTTTGAATCTGAAGTGAGCAAATTAAGAGTAATGTGGGTAAAAATACATTTGCAGCTTAAGTGATTTTAATCAAAAGTTTTAGGCATATTGCAGTTTAATTGTTAATGCCTTTTGGCTTCAAAACTATAACTTTGAATTATTATACTACATGTACAAATAGTGTTTTAGAGAATCTTTTGTTTCTCATTGTTCAGCGCAGTTGCCAATTCTGGTTTTGAACAAAAGACCTCTTTTATGAGACAATAGATCTGAAATGCTATTTTTACATACCTGTGATGTTGAATCAGCAATGGGTAAATTAAGAGAAATTTGGACTGAAATATCTGTAACTTACGTCAGTTTTATTACAAATTTCTTCACTCTTTGCATGATATTTTTATAACCATGCTTTATTAGTTTCTTCCATAGCCACCTTCTCTGTCTCTTTCATATGCTAAGAAAGCCATGATTCCCTATGGTCTCCATTATTGAAAGACCTCTTTTTGACCTTTGGTTTTTTAACAATCCAGAAATCCTAAGCATTGTCCTAAAAAGGAATTCAGTTTGGTATTATGTTTTTTTTGCTTCTTCCTCTTTTGAATCCTTAGCAACTTGTTGCTCGAACAAATTTTCTTTTATTAACTAGCAAGCCCATGTCCCTCATTTACAGGGACTTTGTAATGCAAACTTAATGCTTGAACTACTATATTGCACTTTTTCAGTTTCATGATCATTGCCACTGTAATGCAAGTTTAATTTCTTTAACCAAGTTATGAATGGTAATTAGTAGGCCTACTTATTTACATGCTCTAATGTAAATCAATACCAAATTTGTCTCTTGTTGATGGATCTTCACCAAATTAGGTATGGAGGCTCATTGGGTCTATAGGTAGATACATATAAATTGTCAGTTTTACATTTTGCAGTTTTTATGGACAGTTTTGCATTTTTTACGATTACATATAAGGGAAGCAACTTTTAATGATGTAAGATAACCTTTCATTAATGATGAACTTACATAACTTCCATCCAGGGGATGGGTACTCCAGCTAGTTGAAGAATATGTTGACTTGTATTTTACATTTAATTATGTTTTATAAAAGTTACATAGATTATTATCAAAGGATGTTATATGTCAAAAGGCTATTATTTTGCATTGTCATGTTCTGTCTTGTGAACTATTAGATTAATCTGTTCTTGATTAAAGTTTTATTTTCTACTGAGATTTTGTATTTTAAGTGTGACTTATATGTTTATTTCTGTATTTGAAAATTTTATCAGTGTTATAGAGTTTTTCTGGTATTGTGATTTTGTAAATATAAAGAGCAAACTGGAATCATTGTCAAAAGGTTGTGCTACATGTGTTACTGTGTGAGTACAGAGGCTTGAGTGAGTTATCTCTTTCTTGACCAATAAAATGATTTATTTAATTGGATTTTAAATTTTAGAGTCCAGAATGGCCATGATGGCTTGAAGATAAAGGGGAAGGAAATATGTATCATGAAGGCATATTACATGTTTTCTACCCTTTTATTTAATGTAATTAAAAAAAAAAATTCATGCATACAGGTATATTTATAATAACACAGAATCTTGTATTTTATAAAACAATTTATGGAATATGTGTATTTTTTCTAGGTTTTAAGTACATCATGTAAGCCTGACAGAATTCGAGCTATCTACCAGCATGTTGCAATCAAGAAGGAAGTCAAACTTCAAGGATTCAATTTCTCCTTGCAAGCTGCATCTGATCCATTTGATTCTCAGGTGTTTATTAAAGCAACCTATTATTATTTTCAGAAATATTGTCATAGAACCTTGTGAGATTTATATTAGAAAAATTTAGTGGTTGGGGTCCTGGCAATGCATAAAAGTTAAAAATATATTTTTTGCAGTGACTTTATAATCCCTAACCCAACCTAGAGTATCACAGTAAAATCAAGGCTGCAGGACACTTATTTGTGGCACATGTACATAGTTAGGATGTCTCACAACCTCAAAATCTAATGAAAAACAAATTGAACCATGGTTAAAAATAGCTTTTGTGTCCAAACAATAATCAACATACACCACACAACACAAATCGTCTGTGTGACTGCGCAGTGAGGCTGTTCATTTATGTTTACAATGCAGAAAAGGTTTTATAGGAATTATAAACTACTGCTAACAAATGCTGTGTGTTAATATATGATAATTGATAATGAAGTTTTCAGGGCATATTTTCTTGCAATTCACTTGTGGTGTAATCCATATATACTAATACTGTCACAACATTTATAGGTGGAAATATGTATGGAAATATCAGTAAAAGTATTCAAAACAACTTTTCAAGGTACTTTGTCAAAGCATCTTATATTTTTTCTAATGATGTAATAATTTTGAGTAGATTTTATAAATGAGTTCATCTAAAGTAGCTTTCTATGTCTTTATTGGTTTGTGTGTCCTCTAAGAATGTCAGTGACAAAGATGTTTAGATATTACAAAATAGTACAAGGACTGATAATAATACTTGCTTTGAAAACTAAGACTTTAATTTGTTAATTAAGATGAACGTGCAGGGAATAACTTGTAAAACATGATTATGGATATTAATCACTTAATATGAAAAAATAGTAATTCCTTTCAAGTTACTCATGCAAAAACACTAACTGTAGTTAATTATCAGAATTTTTGGTCAAGATATGCTTTCTGGCTTAAAACATTTACTTAACAAGGTTATCATAAAAGTTGTATTAATATTCAGATTAATTTTCTTTATTTATATTGTTCTGCTTATATAAGCACACACAAAAAAAAGTCATTTTCACATTGTGCTGAAAATAATATTTTTGTGTTCACAGTATACTGACAATGTATTTCTGAACCAAGGAAGATAATTTATAACCTTGGATCAAAAGTTAAATTACTTGGTAGAGAATTGAGAGAATCCTGAAATTATACTTTTTCAAGAAGGAAAGGTGTTGATCATTGTATATATGATGGATAACAATATATGAGCAACTTAGTAAAAATAACAAAATTTCAACAATCCAAGTAATATTTCATACATATTCTACTGACGGTGCTCCTTTTTTTTTATATCAAATACATATTCCAAAACATACTTACCTCTCCTCACACTATAGCTATTAATCGACTTCCAGGGTTTCTTCTTTTGCCCATCTAAGCATTGGTCTGATTTTTTCTCGCTTTCTCCAGTTTTCTATACCCCACTTAATTGCCCTTGGCAATATTTGTCTTGTGACACTCTCCACCTACATCAATGCACCCTCTATCCTGCAATTGAGGGCAATCCTGGACGTTCTGGAGAGAATTTTGATTCACTTTTTCCCATGTCTTCTTTTATTCTGTTGGCTTCTCTGTCACCCTGTGGGGCAATGGTAATTGTATGGACTTACAGTGCTGAAGTCCGGGGTTTGATTGGACATAGCAGATAGCCAAACATTGTTTTACTCTAACAAAACAAACCTACCAGAAATAGAAAAGGAGACCACTTTGGGATAAGCCACCCCCGATTTGGTCTTTCCCCAGTTGTTTTTTGAGCTTGCCCCTTCCTTGATGGCTGTAAGGTCTGGGAGCAAATTTTCAATGTTTCTCTCCATCCAAGGACAATGTAGTTCATGCAGGAAGGTTTACTTCTCAGTTACGTGATAAGAGAGCTATGGTTTTGGAACTACATGATTTAGCCTAATGCCATCAGGTGAAAGCATATTCGAACTCTCAAATAATACATTTGCTCCTCCAAATTTGGGGTTCTAAGGCAAAGTTTGTAGTTAACCTGAATAGATCTCTGGTGGGACAGCAGTAAGTCTATGGACTTACAATAACATCAAACGTGTTGTTTTCCTAACAATAAACTTTGTTGAAAGACTCTGAGGATTACCACTTTCATTGATGACGAGCTGGAACCATTGTTAGCATGCACGTTAGTTCGATTGTCGGCTTCTAAATTCGTCCCTGTTGTTGTTATTTTCTTGATTTTCATCAGCTCCTATAAGGGGTTATAGTTCTGCCCCTATTTGAGGGTCCTGACCTCCAACATCAGCCCTTGGTACATTGGTACCAATAATAGACTCTGTCCATATCCATCAGTTCTGCTGCTTGGTCATAATGCTGTCAGTGGCGTTCGTGATTAATGTATGCCTTTGGTTTATGGGGGCTTGGATCCAAGAATTGTGGTTACCTTAACATGGATCCATGGGCACTGCAGGTCTTTGAGTCAGGATTAGTCATTCAGTTCACATCTTCACCACTGTTATCCTCCCAACCTGTAGGGTTTCCATCTCCCACATATCCTCGGATTTGAGAACTTAGTTCTATGGCTCTCAGAGTTTGTTTGGTCTGGGGGTAGAGAGAGAGAGAGTCGTGCTAGTTTATCTGTGGTTTTATTTCCATTGGTTGTTGAGCCTGAGAAAACAAGAGATTGGTGTCCTGTCATCAATCTTTCTCATCTATATCATTGCCTAGATTCTCCAAGGTTCCCAAGTGATTCATTCCTCAAATTATGTCTGCATTTGTTTACTAGGATTGCAGATGTCCAAGTTCGATGTAGTCAGCTCCTATCTGCACATTGCCATAGTGGTGACATCACGCCACTATCAGCATTTTTTTTGTTTGTGCACAAGGGTCAGTTACTGCAGTTCAGGGTTTTACCTTTGGACTAGCATTGACATCACATGAGTTCTGCCAAATTGTATGAACCTTTCCTCCTCACCTCCATTCCTTAGCCCTGTGCACACAACATTAAATGGATAACTGGTTACTGCTGGCACCATCTTGTTAATTGTCAGAATGTCACACCCAGATTCTACTTTCAGAAACAACCAAGGCAGGCTTCATTCTCAGAGCTGAGACAAGTTCTTGCTCCAATTCAATATATCATAAGTTTGGGTATACTTTTTTCTCATCATGTATCTCAGCCGACTCCCATCCAGGTCCATTCTATGGAACAGGAAGCCTGACTCTTACCCACCTCTCCTTCTCCCACTGTACAGATGTTTCTTTCTATTTTGATAATGTGGGCATCAGTCAATTCCTTCACGCCTCTGGGATGAGTGCACAAGAAATCTTTCAATGGTCTTTATGCAACCAAGGCATCATAAACATTGATTCACTGGATTCCCCAGTTTCCTTATTTGAGATCATTATTCGATCTTGAGGGGTTATTAAGTTGGGAGACAACTAAGATGTGAGTTCCTCTGCCATCACCTTGTTTGGAGATCCATCTCTTTAGGAATGCCTCGCTTCAGGGATGGGGTGCATATGCCGATAGTCAGGAATTCCAGGGTCTACACATGGACGATGAGGCTTACCTACCCAACATTTTAGTTTTTCTTACCCTTCAAAAGGTGATGCTTCATGGTCTGGGCTTATTAAGGGGGAAATCGTCAGACATCACTCTGATAATTCCATGGTGATGTCTTGCATTTCTCACTATGGGGGCATTTGGTCCAGGTCTTCTTGTTTTCAAACCTTGGATCTCCTTTCTCAGGACCACTCTTATCATATCACTCTAATAGCTTGCCATATTCCACAGGTAATGACTGTGGAAGCAGATTAATTGTCTCAACCCAAACAGATTCTCCCAACAGAATATATTTTGAAACACTTGTGATTGCTGGGTTGTCTGCTCATTGGAACACCCAACTACTGGCAATATGGTCTCCAGTACCTCACCTTCTGGCTTTGGCAATTGATGCATTATGTCAGGATGGGATGGGATTACAACTCTAGGCCCTCCCTCCAATTCGTATGTTACCCAAGCTACTAACTGATTTGTTCCAACCCATTGTTAGGTCCTGTTGACAGCACCAGATTGGCAGCTACACCCTGGTTTCTGCTTCTGTGGTACCTTCAGGAGTGTCCACCTCTTCCACTTCTTTTTAGGCCATCTTTGTGGAGGCAGCAATGATCTGACATCGTACACCCAGCTAATCAGAAGCTCAAGCTTCAAGCATAGAGGTTATGCAGTCTTTTGCATGGCATTTGGGTTTAATAATAAGGTTGCCATGTATCTGTCTCAGTCTTTGCTTAGTCCCACAATGGACATTTAAGAACTGAAATGGCACACATATCAACAATGGCGTATTAAGGGGAAGGTGAACCCACTTCAATCAGAAGTGCCAATCATAACCTTTTTCTTTGACCTGGCTCTCTGTCAAGGGGTTTTGCATCTTCCATAATTGCCCTGTATAAGGTGACCTTATTGACTGCCATTCGATACTCAAGACAAAATTTCTTTGAGTCCTCAGTACTCTCCTTCTTCCTCAAGTCATTTTGTTCCAAACAACCATTCCAGTTACCTAACTGTTATATTAAGGTTACATTACACACCCTTTCTTATTTTCATATGCCATGTATCACCTTTACCTAAAGTTTTATTTTTGTTGCTGCTAACCTAGAGACATTGTTGATCAGAGTGAATTGCATTGATTGTACACAGGAAGCTTTTATCATTCTACCTACGTCCTCAGACCAGTTCTATTTCCCTAAGACAATATTAGCTATAGAAGGGGATAAATCATTTTTGCTGATTCATCTGAACACTAATCCTTTGAGATGGATTCCTGTACATGGTGAGGAGTCCTTCCGGGTAAGGTTCTGTATTTTGAGTTACCTCCTCTGGGATCTGAACATCCACCCTCATGTTTGCTGTGCGTGGCGACCCGTGAAAGAATGGAGAATTTCTTGGTGGTTGAGTGTTGTCTGGGGCACTGCAACACACCACTTTGGCCTTGAATTCCTGTAGACAGGTGGCTTTGGGGTGG